TTGAGTGATATTCTCCACCTCTATTGCAAACAGAACACCTAGTACAAATGGTCTATCTATTACCTCTCAGCCATACAGACTGGATAGGCCTACTCCAAGAGGAGGCAGCCACAAAACTTCTCATACAGACGTTTGACCACATTGTGACTCCCTTCAGGTGTTTCACAGCTTAATGTTTTGGCAACCTTATCAGTTGCACTCTCCTTTTCTCCATTGAAATTTTGTCACAGAAGGCTTGTGTTTCTTTGTACATTTTCTTTTCCTGTGGAAGGATGGAAGGACAGTCTGCTCAGGCTCTTCTATTACATGGTCATCGTCTACTGCGGCTACTGGTACATCTGGACTGATTCCCAGATTTGAATACCAGTAGGGAAAGTAAACAGTCTCATGGGCCTCTGATCCATGTGAAGGAGGACCTTTTACTAAGTCTGGCAGGTTCAGGCTGTAATTTATGTAACATCTGCATTTTCACAGAACAGTGCGACAGACGCAATCGTAAGGAGGTTGTTTGTCCAGGACTTTTCCCAGTAGGGTTGTGTGGGTCATAAGGATGTTCCATTTTTTTTGGGTTGATGCCATCATAAAGCTAGACATCCGATCCATGCAGATTAACAGCCATCTCATACTTCTTAAGAATAGTTGGCTATTATTGGCTGAACCATGTGCAGTACTGTTGAGAGGCCAACAGGCATGCACAACTTGTTGCTGTGGCACACAAAAACAATTAAACCCCTTCAGAAAGAAACTAGCCAGACCTGGCTCTCTATGGGACCCAATTAAGAGAGTCATAGTTACTACAGCCAGAAAGTAAGTTCGGGGATCTTGGGACATTCACATCAAGGTCCCTCACTTTCTCTACAGCTCACTATTTTCTTATTTATTTGTCTATTATTTTGACTTGTCCAAATAACCTCTTACTTCTCTAGGCTGAATTCCATTTGCGACTTTTCTGCTCACCTGACTAATTCATTGATATATTACTGCAGTTGAGAACTATTCTTCTCATTATCAAACTTGCAGCCAATTGTACTGTCATCTACAATTACATTCAAACCAGTAATATATGCCACCAAAAGCTGGGGACCTAGCACTGAGCTAGCCCAAATGAAGCAGCCTTCCAATTGCAAAAGTATTTGTCAACAAGTTTCTTGCCACTGAGCTAATATTCTAAGCAGCCTGCTACATTCTGCTGAATCCCATGAGCTTCTTTTCAAAATGAGTCTGCCATGTGGGATCTCATTAAAAGCCTTGTTGTAGATCACATCGACTGCATTATCTTCAATCCTAATTACTTCCTCAAAAAATTTAATTTGTTAGTCAGATACAATCTTCCCTCAACAAATCCATGACAACTATTTCTGATTAATTCACGTCTTTCTAAGTAACATTTTATCCTGCTTCTCTGAATGGATTCCAACTTGCCCCCAACTGGGAATAGTCTGTGGGTCTGTAGCTCATATGATCTTTTCCCTTGTTCCCTTTTTAAACAGAATAATTGCAACATTAGCAGTCGTCCGATCCTCCAGCAACAAACTTGTATCAAGTGAGGATTGGGAAATGATGGTCATAATTTCTACATTTTTCTTCCTGGATTCTTTTAACAGCACGAGGTACATTTAATCTGGCTGTAGTAATTTATCCACTTGCAAGAATGCTAATGCCATTATAATTCCACACTCTCTGTCTTTATCACATGCAATACTTCATTCTCTGCCTCAACCAAATCCGCATTTTTTTTTAGAAATAAAGATAGGCGTAAAATCTTCTGCCATTACACATAGATTAGATTCTTTTATTGGCTGTACTCTCCTTAGTTATCGTCTCACACTGAACGTATTGCTAAAATTGATCTTTGGTTGATTTTGAATCTGCCTTCCTGCTTTGGATAACCTCACATTTATCCATTTATACTTCACCTACCATGCATTTGCCCAACTTGTCTAAATCATACTGAAGCATTTTTGCATCCTTCTCACAGCTCACCCTCCTACCCAGTTTAGCACTGTCTGCAAACTCAATTAGTTTAGTTGCCTCATATAAATCATTATTATTGTGAACTGCTGGGATCCAAGCACTGATCCTGAGGTACCCCAACTGTCACTGGCTGCTACTTGAAAAAAAAGACTCATTTATTCCTACAGTATTTCCTGTCCGCCAACCAGTTTCCTATCCATATCACTACACTTACCCCAATTCAATGCGCTTTTCATTTTACATGCTCATTAGACCTTATCAAAAGCCTTCTGAAAGTCCAAGTAAACTAGATCCACCGGCTCCCCTTTATCAATGCTAATCATTACAACCTCAAAAAATTGTAGATTTGTCAAGCATTGTTTTCTTTTCATAAATCCATCCAGACTGGACTCTGTCCAATCCTGCCATTGCTTTCAAACTGTTCTGCTAATAAACCTATTATAATGAACTCTGGCATTTTCCCCACTTCCAAATGTCAAGTTAACAGATCTTTAATTCCCCGTTTTCTCTCTACCTCGTTTTAAATACTGGCATTACATTAACAACCTTCCATTTCAATTCATAAGAGCTATTACAGAAACTACAGAATTCTGAAACATGACCATTGAATGCACCCACTATTTCTAGGCTGACTTTCTTTAGTCCTTTAGGATGTTGGTTATCAGGCCCTGGCTATTTAATCTGCCATTTCTTTAATCCCTATTATAATTTCCCTTGTTTCTGACCGTAAGGGACCTACATTTGGCTTCACTAATCTTTTCCTCTTCACATACACAAACTTTTGCAAGCAGTTTACATGTTCCCCCAAAAAACTTGCTCTCATACTCTTATTTTCCTCCTCTGCTAAAATCTAAACTGCTCCCAATCTTCAGGTCTGCTGCATTTTTGGGACAACATGTACGACCCTTCCTTGGATCTCATACTATTCTTAACTTCCCTCTTTAGCCATGCTCATGCATTGCTTTCTTATAAGACTTGATTCCTCAACTTTCTATCCTCCTCTTGGCTTTAAAATTCTTAGCGTCAGGCATAAGCTTTCCTTTTTTTTTTGCCTTATCTTACTATATAAGCTCCTTGATATCCAGGCAGCTCTAGATTTGTCTGTCACACTTTTTTCCTTTGTGGAAACACTTTCACTACTAGAGCTCCCGAATCTCCCCTTCGAATGCATGCAACTGCTCTAACGCGGATTTATCTTCAAGTAGCTGCTTACAGCTCACTTTTGCAAAACCTCAGCTTAGTAAAATTGTCCTTGCTCCAATTTTGAACTCCAACAACTATCGTTGTGCTTTAATTTTGGTAAAGTAGTATAATTATCCACACGGCCATCACAATATTCTCCCACTGCTACTCCTTCCACCTGTCTAGAGTCCAGAACTGTACCTTAGCTTGTTGGACTTGCTACATACTACCAACAAAATGCCCTCTATGTACCTTGATAATTCTGATCCCTCAATTTCTTTCATTCTAAAACTATCCTAATTAAAAGATAAATATTGGCTAGGACACTGGGGGAAAAGAAAAGACAGATAGTTCTGTAGGGTCTTTCACATTCATTTGAGCAGGAGATAGGGCTCCAATTTAACTTTTTGTCTGAAACAAGGCAGCTCCGCCTAGCCTCAACTTTTGTGGTCAGGCCCTGGAGTAGGATTTGAACTTGAAACTTTATGACTCACAAGCAAAAGTGCTTCTCACTAGGCTATGACTAACTCAGCTGGATATCAATAACAACAAACTAGATTGTTGCTATTGCTTGAAAGGATGGTGAAGGAAGACCAGAATATTTGAGATAATAATGGAATAAATTAAAAGGGGTGTATAAAAAGGCCTTAATACAGAAGGGAATTAAAATTTGAAATTTCCAGCAACAAATATTAGAGGTATAGAATTTTTAAAAATTCTTTTAAGGTAAATTAGTTACTTCAAAAATGTGAAAGGGACAAGGAATGGACAGGAGAGTGGATTTAGGCATGTGGAGAGACACTGGTGCAGACTAGCTCTAGTCTTTAACATTGATTCGATGCAGGAGAAAAAAGAAAGCTGATTAAATTTGAAATGTAACAAATTAATGAAGCATACATTTTATAACCTCCCACTTCAATAAAACTAATGTAGTTAAAAACTGGTTAAATTCTTTAAAGGGCCCTCACAGGCTACTAGAAAGTTGTACAGCACTTTCATGCAAAATTACTATCTGATGGAATGTTTATATTTGAGGACGACCAAATGTGCGTAGACATTTATCCTTCTCAGCTATGTGAATAATGACCTCTTGGATAAATCAACGGAAGACCACCTTTCCCCATGGAATTGTAACCAGCAAAAATCATTACAGGAGACCAAAGGGAGAATGTATTAGGAGATGAAAAAAGGTTTCCTTTACATTTACAAGACTACATATAAATTTCTGACTACATTTATGAACTATTTGGCAGCACATATACTAAAAGAAAATTAGAGTCGTTTATACACACTGGCATACGCTTTTCAGCTCCCTCCTGTTATCTGGCACATAATTTGCAAAATGCCTGCCTCGCTCTTTTACATGGAGGATAGGTTCAGCAGTATGAAATAGGCCAGTCCATGGCTGGACAGAAAATATATTGAAGAGGAATATAGCATATGCATTATTCCCACCATTCTTTTTTTTTGAAAAGGACAATTTTAAACAGTAGGTAGAGAGATCTTCACAAGTCTTTGAAAAAGAAATCAATACAGTCAATCACAAAACACATGTAACGATCCCAGGGGCTTGCAGTTCACTCATTGTGGAAGCAAAAGTTCAGTCCCAGTTTGCGGCTATCCCTCTGTGAAGCCCAAGAAGTTAATTAGCATTGAGGAGAGCATTTCTGCAGACCAAAATCCTACTATGCTAGAAATTAGACTAGAGATCTGTCTAAGCTTTAACTTCAGTAGTTATGTTAAAACTATTTCACAGAGAGCCAGCATTCCTGATTGTAAACCAAATGTGTTTTTAAGCTCCACACCGCATAGTTACATAAATGTAAACACATTTCAGCAAATACCTGTATGTTACAAGGCCCCAGTTTTCCATAGCACCTGTCAATAAAAAAAAAGCACCATGAGGTATGACAAATTTGTGGCATCAGAGAATGACAACATTTGGCTCTCAAACTCATAAGCAAGAAGGATGATTAATTGAAGTCACCATCCTCTTCTTTGTCAATTAGGAGTGTAGGTGTGAGAAGGTATGGAATTGCGCAGTTAGGGATTACAATCAACAGGCAATCAATTTTATAAACTCAATAGATTTTTAGTTGCCAATTATTGAGTGATATGTTAGGAAGTCACCAAGCTGAACAAAGGAATAGCGCTCGGCAAAAAGACAGAATAGGTGACAAGAATTAAGTGCAGCAATGTTTTGTAACTTTACTGTCAAAATGGCACAACCTCTGAATAAATGATTTCATTAGAATGATGTAAATGGACATATTTTTGTTCAGAAAAAGTTGTGTTAAATAGTTGCATTTTGATCATGCATTTCAGAATGTCTCAAATCACCTCCCCTGCAAAGAATTGTATTTATATAGCTCCGTATGATATAATATTCCAAGGCAAATTAAAAAAAAGAGTATTGTAAAACGAATTATCACACTAAATCACATATTTGAAATGGCTAAAGGTTTAGTCAAAGTGGGAGGTTGGAAGTAACATCTTAAAGGAAAATATGAAGAAAGACAGAGATATAGAGATGAAATTCCAGTGATATCGTCTTAGCAGCTGACAGTACAACGATTAGTGGTCAGGTGATTAAAATCATCAATGCTCAAGAGTTCAGAATTAAACGAGTTCAGAATTAAACAAGCACAGATAACTGAGGGTTGTGGCTAAAAGTAATTACAAAGTGGGAAGGGAAGAGGCCCTGGAGGGACTCAAAAAGAACAAATAAGAATTTCAAAACCAAGGTATTGCTTAAATAGGAGTAAACATACGCCTGCAAGTACAAAATGACAAGTATTAGTTTGCAAAGCTGTGATTTTGTTCTGCAGGCAATGTTATGTCCTTAAGGTACCAACCTGCTGCGAAGTCTGCAATGGCTATCAGGTCAATTTTTGGAAGAGGATAAGGAACGTTAAAATATTCTTTATAAAAAGGTAGTGTCTTGGCAGCAACCTAGTGAAGAGAGAAGCAGAACTTTTTGTCACTATTAAATACAAAACTGCATTTATCAGCACATCTGTAAATGCCTATTTGTGTTCCATATAAACAGGGAACAGAGTTGATTCCTTTAAGATCTCACTAAAGCAAAAAAAAAATCTAGCACACAAGATGCTTAAGCTATAAAAAAGGGAAATACATTCCAAAATGGAAATTACCTTTTTTGTTTGAAAAAGGGAATTATTATCTAAATTGCACATGGCCAGTGACATTCCTTCTTCCTGATGGGTCTGCAGGGAATCACTTATTTAAATGTCTTAATTTCCTCATTTAAAATGTGTTTTTAAAAGTTACATTTAAACCTAACATGGTTGCAAAAGACTGCTCTAGTTTTATTTAGGAAGATTATTTGAACCCAATACTCTAGATGTAATTTTTTCCCAGAGAGCCTTTTTTTTTACCTGGAAACCTGGCCCCTATGAGTCAGCAGTTACAGCAGGAGGATGAGCAATGTCACTGCTAATATGGAGAAAAACAGCAGGGTTACAAGGTTGATTTATACACAACATAGTAGCACATGATCCAAAATATTTCATCAAGGATTCTCATTGAAGGATTTGGGTGAAGACTTTAAAAACAAGTCTCCCTCCCATCACTCCCCACCAATTACCTTCCTGAAGGTGCTGACTCTTTGCTAAGACACTGTTACCTGAGCATTGGGCATCCGTCCTCCATTGCTTCATCCAAATTATCAGTCATCAATTGAGAGTTCAGGCAGTGAGACTCTCGCAGACCTAATCTGGTTTTCATCTGATGTTCTCACACTGAGGTTACAGGAAGGTTTCTGGATAGCAGTCACTGATTAGAACAGTAGATGATTTGTGCTTCCCTAATCCAAAGGTAGGGAACCAACTACAGAAACCCCAAGATCTTCCTGTTATGAATGGCACTGCTATTCACTCTGTTCAGTGAAGAGCGAGACTTCTACAAATCATCAACTAAATTTATGACAGGCAAAAACCTAATTTTTTTGACAATGCCATTGACTTATATTCAAAGCAAACTGGTATTAATTTCTTTTAATTGAAATGTGAAATCTTTACAAGCTACAACCTGTGCTTGTGATTTCACATTGCCCCCAGTGACTCCTGCCACTGCCTCCTCTCAGAATCCCTACAGTGGAAGAACAGGCCATTCGGCCCAACAAGTCCACACGACCCCTCCCCCACGCGCGGCCCCCAAGAGCATCCCACAGAGACCCCTACCCTTGCCCTGTAACCCCGCAATTCCCATGGCTAGCACACCTAACCTACACTCCCCTGAACACTACGGGCAATTTAACATCACCAATCTACCAAACCCACAAATCTTCGCACTGTGGGAGGAAACTGGAGCGCCAGTGGAAATCCACGGAGACATGGGGAGAGTGTACAAACTCCGCACAGACAGTCACCCGAGGGTGGAATCAAACCCGGGTCCCTGGTACTGTGAGGCAACAGTGCTAACCACAGTGTCACCGTGCCACCCACTACTCTGTCCTCCAGATTCCTCCAATGGTATTTCCAACATAATTCCAAGACAAATATTCCCTAGTACTCTGTCCTCATTTTTACCACAATGGCCACTAGGTGGTCAAAAGTACTTTCCTGTCAAGATATCTGCCCTATGAAGCACTTAAGAGTCTTGCAATAGTCTCATGCAGCTAGGAATTTATTGCTTTTGAACTCTGTATTTCACCACCATGCGCTAGGTGGCACAGCATGCTGGAGCACAGTGCAGTGTAGCACTAGATCACCATGTGGCGTTAGAACAGTAAAGGGTTAATAAGTGAAATCTAATAACACAAGAGGCCATTGTGAATTTACCCTTTAACTACCTTAAGGGATCAGGTAACTTTAGAGTTTAATTCAGAGAACTGGAGTATAGACGTGATATCTTGAATTCAAGAAACGAGGGCAGTTCCTCCTCTCCCTCCATTTCGTTTTAAGGACACACTATACAAAAGGACACAAAAACAACAACAACCTCGAGAGCAAATTTTCCTTGATCCGCTTTTCCAATGGGTGTGTAGACACGGACTAGAATGCCATCTGATGACTTGGTTTCCACAAAGTCATATTCACCAACCACAAATGCCACCAAGTACGTGGACATTATCGGCGATTTGGCGAACTTGACTTCAACCATGTCTTCATCGTCAGGATATGGGTTACGCTCAGTCACGTTCTGTAACATTGAAGGCAGAACTTGGGTTAGAAATTGCAGAATACATTAGCAATACACTTCACCTGGAAATATCCAATTCTCAAGAGTATTCTAACAAAAACATGAGTTCTGTACCCAAATAAACTGGAAAGGTTAAGTAAAAAAATCAAAAAATCCCTATATCTCAGGATGTATTAGCAGTGTCATAGAGACGTACATCACGGAAACAGACCCTCGAGTCCAACTTGTTCATGCTGACCAGATATCCTAAATTAATCTAGTCCCATTTGCTAGCATTTGACCCATATCCCTCTAAACCTTTCCTATTTACATTCCCATCCAGATGCCTTCTAAATGTTGTAATTGTACCAAACTCCACCATTTCCTCTGAAAGTCAATTCCATACATGCATCACTCTTTCCATGAAAGAGTTGCCCCTTAGGTCTCTTAACTCCTTCCCCTTTCATCTTAAACCTATGCCCTCTAGTTTTGGACTCTCCCACTCCAGGGAAAAGACATTGTCTATTTACTGTATCCATGCCCCTCATTATTTTATAAACCTCTATAAGATCATCCTTCAATCTCCAATGCTCCAAGGAAAATAGCTCCAGTCTATTCAGCCTCTCCCTATCGCTCAAACCCTCCAATCCTGGCAATATTCTTGTAATAACCAAAAGAACTGCGGATGCTGTTAATCAGGAACAAAAACAAAGTTGCTGGAAAAGCTCAGCAGGTCTGGCTGCATCTGTGAAGGAAAAAACAGTTAACGTTTTGGGTCCGGTGACCTTTCCTCAAAACTGTGTTGTTAACATCCTTGTAAATCTTTTCTGAACCCCTTCAAGTTTTACAACATCCTTCCTGTAGTAGGGAGACCAGAATTGCATGCAGTATTCCAACAGCGGCCGAACCAATGTCCTGTACAGCGGCAACATGAGATCCTAACTCCTATACTCAATGCATTGACCAATAAAGGCAACTGTACTAAACACCTTCACTATCCTGTCTACCTGTGACTCCACTTTCAAGGAACTATGAACCTGCACTCCAAGGTGTCTTTGTTCAGCAACACTCCCCAGGACCTTACCATTAAGTGTATAAGTCCTGCCCTGATTTGCCTTTCAAAAATGCAGCACTTCACAATTACCTAAATTAGACTTCATCTGCCACCTTTCGGCCCATTGGCGCATTTGATCAAGATTATTTCAACACAATCACTCAATTGTCAAAAAAGGAAAAGTCACTTAAATTAAATGGACTAATCTTATAAATCTATCATCAACATTCACTTTAATAGTTGTGTTTACCATTAAGTTAGAGCAGATGTAGAAATGCATTCCCTACCAGTCTTGTAATCAGTCAGTCTTAGCACTCCTCTCAGACAGAAGGTCATGGATTCAAGTTTCGCTCTGCATCTTTGATCATACAAATCAAGGCTAATATTTCAGAGCAGTATCTGAGGGAGCGTTAAACATACTTGATTTCAGACAAGATGTCAAATCAAGGCCTCATCTGCCATTCAGATAGAAGTAAAGATTTCATGGCACTATCTGAAAAGGAGTAGTGTAGTATTCTTGGCGGCCTGCCTAAACACGATCCTACAACAAATATACTTACAGCAAACTATCTGGCCACTTATCTCACTGTTGATTGTGGGACTCTTTGAGCATAAATTGGTTGTGTGCCAAATGACCCCAATTACAACAGTGACTATAACTAATTTTTTAAGGCATTAATATGCTTCAGACATCCTGAAGACATGAATGCACTGCATAAATGTAAGTTCATTTTCCTTCTACAGACATTTCACTCTCCTCACTTATCAAGTTTCTTTTCTACCATTAAAAAGTAGGTATTAAAATGTCAGAACAAATAACACATCAATTTTGCTCTTTATAAGCTTTGAACATGACGTCTCTTCATATTGACAAGTTTTGAGACATCTATTTCCCAATGATACAAGTGACTGATGAATGGAAAAAAAAAATCAGATTTAATTATGTGCCAAAAATGACAGAACAAACTCATATTCACAGAAACACGAAGATCAACAAGTATGTGTCACGGTTCTTCAAGTAACTTCAATCAGAACAAATTCATCCCATTTATCTGAATAAAGAAACTTTCTTTACAATTGCTTCAGTTACAGCCCACATTGCATGCTAAGAATTTTCAGTTCTTGGGTTGGAATATACCAAAGTTAGCAACATTCCAGTAATTTTATAAATTGTCAGACTGCAAACTCTTAGATGTCTATGCAACCTTGGAAGCTATCACAGCTGTGACCTATTTTGTACTTAACCAATGCACACATCAAATAATCCGATAGGACAGCAGGCAGGAATAGGGTCTGGTTTTCATCAGCTAAATTCAGTGTAGCATCTGGGGATTTTCAGTGTTTAATCCAGGAGTAAACGTCATTGGGAAAGGTCACAACTCTGAAGAATCTTCAATGTTAAAGGGTGCATAGACCAATGGCATTTTTGCAATCAATAAAGAGCATAGGGAGATGAAAAATTCAAGAATCTTGTATGATATCTCACTGGCAAAGGTTTAGCTGGAAACCTGCAGAAAATTACAATATTCTAGTTGTTTCCAAGTTCCATTACATTTGCTTCAGATGTAGGTGCCGCAGTCCAATTCTGCTGGTAGTCTTCATTACCTGCAGTTATGAGAGATCCTTTCAAGTAAGCCTGCCAATTATGATGATACACCAAGGCTCAGGGCTTCATATCAATTCGCACATCCTGGGCGTTCAGGCCATTTTCACAGAAGCAAATAACACTTTTTTTTTTTTCGGTCTTGTCTTCTTCGCACACAAACCTATTTCACCCAAGCTGATCCACACCTACAAGGTCTCAGCAAAGCAAAATATACTGTATATGGATGTTTTCATGGGTGTGTAGGAGGGGGCAGAAGCTCATTCTGAAACAAGCAATTGAAGATGTTTCACTGATGCTATAAATCTGCACAGTTAGCAATAAAAGAAACAAAGTTTTCCAGAAACCATTTTTTTCCCAAAAATCAAACCCAGATGGTGATGATTTTTGGCCTGCAGTGCACCTTAAAAGTTGTTCCAGGGATGATTGATTTATGGTCAAGAATAAACAAAATATCACTCATCCAGTTTTTGGAGAATTTTGACGTGAAATCTGGGCAATTGTTTGTAAACAGGTAGGGCAGTAAGACTTTTGGTGAAGTGTACGGTATCACCTCTCAGAACACAAGAAATTTATACAGCTGGATAGTGTCTCAAAAATTGAGATATTTCAGTAATTTCATACATCCAAGAATTCAACCACCTAGGAAGATTACCACAAAACACTTTACAACTGCGACACTAGGAATTTGAGGTCCTGGATTAATCATTTTGTTTGTTCTCTTGAAAAAGGCACACAGATTCCAAAAGCAATGAAGTTCAAAATAAACATGAACCGCTAAGGAGGTGCTGGAGTTGTTTTGTCATAAGCATTATTTCAGATCTGCCAAATTTATAGGCGATACTGCAAACAGTCTTGAGCAGTTGTAATTAACAGCTGAATTCAAAGATGTAAATAGTAATTGAAGAACTACAGAATTCAACACTTTGCATCTGTTGTGTTTGACCGAAGTAGAAATATGAACGTTGGGACTGGTAGATTTATCATTATTATAGTCAAAACTGTGTCAGTAAATGGTACAATTTTTGGAAACAAGACATTGTGGCTGGAGTTTGCATGGGTCCAAATATTAAACAAAGATCAACAGTTAACAATGGAATCTCATTTTCAGATCTAATTTCAGGCAAACCCAGACAGTCTGATTTAGAACCAATGAGAAGTAATTTCATATTCTCAAACAGCAAAGAAACAAAATTAATGAACATAAAAACACCAGTTATTTTATTAACTCATTCTCTCTGGTTTATCTACTTGAAAATAATCACAATCCATTTTTAGCACCTGATTACAAGAAACAAATAATTAAACCTATGGACATTTCCTTTGCAACTTTCGCAAGCTTATAAAACTGGTTTATTCCACCAAATGGGCAACGACACCTCGGAATGTAGATTCACAATTTTATAAGCCAGCTGTTGCATCAGTAGGAACTTCGTTATGGATCACTAAAAGAATTAATGGTGCAAACAAGCCATTGTTACCTACAAAGCAGACTGTGTCTTTACACTGTACCTGTGTCAACATCGAACTAACTGTAGCAAGTGCACAGGACAAATAGCAATTCTCATTCATATATTTGCTTTGATTTATATCATGTGGCCTATCTTGATCTCCCTTATTTTAGACAGCTGCATCCCATACACCATCAGATCACAGCTTACACTAATGGCAATAGGTTTATTAACAAAATTTTAATAGCTTACAGTATTAACATCAGATTCACAGCAATAGAAAATTTACTATTCCTTCCACCTCTAAATAAAAAATACTTCTATCGCCTGTGCTAAATTCAAGACAAAATTACAGCTTGAAATAGCAAGCTGTAGTTAATACGAATCCTAGTTATCTACATAAAGTGATGTGTTTAGAATTTGCTTAGCATTCATTGCCTGCATCCAGTACACATTCTTTAGTTAACTGCACATAATCTCTTCCTTCCCGCAGTGTTTTGGTAGAACCTCCTTTTCACTCATAACTTTACAAAACTGCACCTTCAAACTCTCTCACATCAAACTTCATGTTAATCATGATAGATTCAGGCTCTAAGTGCAATTATTCCCGCATTATATGCGATCACAGTTGTTCTAAGCTTTACTGCTCTTCATCAGCTGCGCAACTTCCCGTCATCAGATCCCACAAGTACATCTCTGTAGTAATGATCGTTCTCATCAGATAATTGGACATACCTGAAGATTTGTGCCATAATGGTTGCACCTAACCATCCTGTCGCATTAACAAGCACATCTTCAAAAGGACCATACTGGTGGGCAAACGGTAGGCTTTGCAACACCATAACCACTTTCAACTAAAATAACTTGGACACTATATTATTTGAAGCTGTTTAATTATAATGATGTTCCAACC